ACAACAACAACAACAACAACAACAATCACTTTACCCGAACGCTCAGTGTTCTCACCAGTGCCAGGGTTTTCATGCGACGCCAGCCAATACCCCCACTTTGTGGGGGGGCAGTGCAAGCTCTACCAAATATCCACACGACTCTTCGCCACCACCCACACCCAGCTTCCCGCCCTATGACGTTCGGACACTTCACTTCGTGGCCTGCGGACGACCGTGGCTACTACACTGGCGTGGAGTACACACCCACAGAAGTTGTTAAGCCTACGTTCGTACACCCACAGTTGTTAAGCCTTGTTAACCCACAGAAGTTGTTAAGCCTTCCACAGAACATCTGTTGCATATGATGCATATGATACATGCGCGGTGCTAAAATTCTTAAGAAGCCCAATGGTTTTTGGAGATTTCGGCGTGCGCGCGCGAAGAAAAAACGAATGTGTCCCGCATGGTATTATTTGACAGGGATGATGGCCCTGGCAGGTGCGCAACCGTTGTCGCAGAAGTTCGAAAAAGTTGCTCGCAAAAGCCCGTTTGACAGAAATGTTTAAAAAGTGTTGGGTTTCCTACGAATCCGCAAGAGCGCGCGGGATGAGATTTTGACAATTTTTTTGTTGAAAAACCATTGGTTTTTTGATGTTTTTATGTTAAAATCGCTGCGAACACTAAGGTTTTGGAAGGATTTCGTCTTGCGCGCGCGAATGTCCACTTTACCTTATTTTTTGCAAGGGATTCTTGAAATTTGATTATATTAGAACAAGAAATGTCATTTTATAGTGTTTTTTGCAAGGGAAAACGGATTACAACAAAACAACCGGATCTGGACCCCATCCACTTTTCTGAAGCTTTCGCGAACAAATGATGAAAATGTAGCTGCGGCCTAGGCGCGGCGGGGGGGCCGTGCACCAGGGGCCCCAACAATAATTATTCTTTAGAATTAATAATGTTCAACAACAACAGCAGTAGTAACAACAATAACAACAACAAGAACAACAACAACGACAACAACAACAACAACAACAACAAAAACAACAACAACAACCACAACAACAACAACAAGAACAACAACAACAACAACAGCAGTAACAACAATAACAACAACAACAACAACGACAATCACAACAACAACAAAAACAACAACAACAACAACAACAACAACAACAACAACAAGAACAACAACAACAACAACAACAACAACAACAACAACAACAATAACAAAATGAGAGATCGTGTGGGTATCTGGCCGACTGGTGAAGGCTCACCCCCACACACAACCAGATCGAGAGGCAGCCAGGGAAGGACCAGACAGGGAAGGACTCACCTCCACGTAGCCGTAGCCGTATCAGGGGGCTGCCAGAGGAAGGCTCAACCCCAGACAGCGAGATCAAGACGCAGACTGCAGCCATCTCAAGATACAGACTGGGGAGGGCTCAACCCCACTCAGCGAGATTCAAAGGCAGACTCAGACTAAACGCCCACACAGCCGTATCGAGAGGCAGAGTAGGGAAGGCACACCCCCACTCACAGCGATATCATGAGGCAGACTGAGGAAGGTTCACCCCCACAGCAATATCGAGAGGCAGACAGAGGAGGGCTCACCCCCGCAAAGCCATCGCAAGAGTCGTCATACTTATTGAAGGTGGGTAGCGGGAAGAGCTGGGAAAAGGCTAGATCACCAGAGGACTTTCAATGCTGGGATGGGAAATGGAACGAACGGCGTTAGACTAGGTAAGACACACACACACACACACACACACACACACACACACACACGCACACGCACACGGCCAGATCGAGAGGCAGACTGGGGAAGGCTCACCCCCACACAGCCATATCAGAGGGCAGACTGGGGAGGACTCACCCCCTATCTGGCAGACTGGAAGGTCCACCCCAACACACAATCAGATCAGGTGGTAAACTGGAGAAGGCTCACCCCCACTCAGCCAGATCGAGAGGCAGACTGGGGATTGCTCACCCCAACGCTTCCTTATCAAAGGGCAGACAGGGGAAGGCCCACACCAACGCCGCCATATCCAGGGGCAGACTGGGGAAGGCCCACCCCCACGTAGCCGCATCAGTGGGCAGACTGGGAAAGGCTCATCACCACACAGCGATTATCAGGAGGCAGACTGGGGAAGGCTCACACACACACACAGCCACATCGAGCGGCAGACTGGAGAAGGCTTACCCCCCCACAGCGATATCAAGAGGCAGACTGGGGAAAGCTCACCCCAACACAGAGTCAGGAGGAGGGGGGAGGAGTAGGAGAAGGAGGAGAAGAAGAAGAAGAAGGAGAAAAAGGAGGAGAAGAAGGAGGAGTAGGGGAAGGAGGAGGAAGTGAACGGGGAAGAGGGGGAATGGGGAGGAAAAGAAGGAGGGCCTGAGCTTCTGGAGCGTCGCGCTCGCGGAGAACGTGCACGCCGACAGCATCAGCGCGCCGACCGACGCGCCCGCCAGCGCCGGGAAGCGCTCGCTGCCAGACAGGGCCACCGCCAGCGCGGAGATGGCCTGGAGGGACAGAAACCGGTGACCATGACCAAGACTGAACGCAGAAACGTCGGTGTCGATCTTGGTTACCGTACATCTTGGCTGCCGTCAATTCGTGGATCGTCCTCGCGAATCGGCGGCTGCCAGCATGGACCATGACCAAGACCGGCGTCGACAAGATCCTGCGCCATCTTGGTCATGGCCCCCGTGCTTCTTCCCCCGATGGCCAGCTCGAACAGCTGGCAGGCCACCGCCTGCAGCCCCGCAGCCTTGCCGCGCCAGCGCGCCGGGACGAGCTCCTGCAGCACGGAGACCATCGCGAGGTCGAACGCCCAGAGGAAGGGCCGCGACAGCGAGACGAGCAGCAGCATCGGGCTTGGAGACCAGGCCTCCGGGGAGACGAAGGCAGCCCTGCCCTCAGGCTGCCATGGCAAGGCTTCGGATTGTGCACAGACGGCCCACCCACCCCCGAGGAGTCCAGGCTGGTCTCAACACGCCCCCCGAGTAGCCCAGAGCGGTCTCAACACCCTGGCGCCGCCTCTGGCGGCGACCCTTATGAGACCCTGACTAAATAATGCTTACTACGAGAGCCTCAGTAAAGAAGCCTTACTGCGGGAATATGACTCAAGAGTCCTCAGTAAGGGAACTGCATAAGCATTATGATCATGGGTGTCTTCATCAAGAGCCCGCCCTTACTAGGAGAATGTCAATGAGGAGTCCGAACCACGGGACTATTACAAAATAGCCCTTACTAAGGGCAACTTCGTAAAGAAGTTTCACTGCGGGAATATGAATGAAGAGTTCTCACTATGGGAAGCTTCACCAAGAATTCTCAGTATGGGAATATGACTCGAGAGTCCTAACTACGAGAACCTTGATGGAGACTCCTTGCTACTCAAGGTCCTTACTAACAGCACCTTGGTAAAGAAGCCTTACTACAGCAATACGGCTCAAGAGTTTGTACTAAGAGAACATGAGTGAAGAATATTTGCCACGGGACTCTTACTGAACAGTCCTTACTAAGAGCACCTCAGTAAAGCAGGTTTACTACAGGACTCTTACTCAAGAGTCTTTACTAATAGCAACTGAGTAAAGCCTTACTACGGGAATGGGACTCGAGAGTTCTTACTCAATTCTTACTGAGAGAACCTTAACGCAGAAAGCCTTACTACGGGACTCTTACTCAGCAATCCTCACTAAGAGAATCAGATTGAAGAATATGTACTACGGGACTCTTACACAAGAGTCCTTACCAGAAGAGGCCGACTAAAGAACTCATCCTATGGGAGTCTTACCCAACGAATCCTTACTGAGAGATCCTTGATCAAGAACCCCTACTACGTGACTCTTACTCAAGAGTCCTTACAAATAGCAACTGAGTAAAGCCTTACTACGGAAATCGGACTCGAGAGTTCTTACTTAATGCTTACTGAAATAATCTCAACGACAAAGCCTTCCTACGGGACTCTTACTCAGCAATCCTCTCTAAGAGAACCAGATTGAAGAATCTGTACTACGGGACTCTTACACAAGAGTCCTTACCAGGAGAGGCCGACTGAAGAACTCATCCTATGGGAGTCTTACCCAACGAGTCCTTACTGAGAGAACCTTGATCAAGAATCCCTACTACGGGAATCTTACTCAAGAGTTCATACTAATAGAAATCCAACTAAGAAGGCTTTCCTCCGGAATAATATAGATGAACCCTGAGGAGGAAAACCTAAGGATAATTCTTGTTTCGGGGATATGGCTCAAGAGTTCTTACTAAGAGAATCTCCATGGAGAATCCTTACTACGGGACTGTTACTCAACAGTCCTTCCTATAAAGAAACCTTACTAATCATATTATTCATCGTCAGAATCACCACCATCATCATCACCAGAATCATTATCAGCATACGTAACACAATCTTCAGCACCACCGCCACCACCACCCCTGCCATCACCATCAAAATCATCAGCAGCAGCAGCCGTATCATCGCCGTCGTCGTCGTGATCATCAGCATCATCATCAACACCAACACCATCATCATCAGGATCGTCGTCGTTCCCATCGCCATCGTCATCGTCATCAATATGACTACCGTCGTCGTCATCAGCGTCACCATACCTACACGTGCCACTGGAATGAACACCTTCATCGCCACCATCATCATCACCACCACCACCACTATCAGCATCGCCACATCATCACCATAACACTCGCCATCCGCATCAGCAACGGCATCATCACCAAACTCGCCATCACGATCATGATCGTCGCCCGCATCAGCAACAAATGCACAGTCATCATCGTCGACACCATCATCATTATTCACAGATTTCCCGCTTTCGCCAGCACAATCACCATCAGCATCAACATTAACATCAGCAGTATCAAGATCATCATCCACACCATCACCATCATCAACAGACTCAGCATCATCAGAATCATCATCATCAGCAATAGCATCACTAGCACGTCGGCAACAGCATCCACAGCATCATCATCAGCAACGTCATCATTAGCATCACCATAACCACCGTCGTCATCATAATCACGGCCATCATCACCATGGCCATCATCAGTAGCATACTCGCCACCATCTTCACCCCCATCACCATCAAAACAACACGATTCAATATCATCAAGAGCATCACCGTCACCACCGTCTCAAGCGAGGAAGCACGATGAAAGGAAGAGAGAAAGAGAACAACATAATAATAATATTAGAAATCCTATTCTTTAATACAAAAAATAATACTAATAATTATAGATTGATGTTGTTTGACAAACAAACAACAACAACAACAACAACAACAACAACAACAACAACAACAACAACAACAACAACAACAACAACAATCATTTAAGACTGGGGACACTCCGTTCTCACCAGTGCCAGGGTTTTCATAGGAGGCGGGCAATACCCCCACTTTGTGGGGGGGCCGGTTCAAGCTCTACCAAATTTCCAAACGACTCTTCGCCACCACCCACACCCAGCTTCCCGCCCTATGACGTTCGGACACTTCACTTCGTGGCATGCGGACGACCGTGGCTACTATTCAGGGCCCCGCGGCCGACGACGACGGCGTGCGCGCGCGAAGAAAAAACGAATGTGTCCAATATGGTATTATTTGACAGGGATGATGGCCCTGGCATGCGCGCAACCGTTGTTGCAGAAGTTCGAAGCACGTGAAAAAGTTGCTCGCAAGAGCCCGTTTGACAGAAATGTTGAAAAAATATTGGGTTTCCTCAGAAATCCGCAAGAGCGCGCAAGATGAATTTTGAAAAAAAAAATTGAAAAACCATTGGGTTTTTCATGTTTTTATGTTAAAATCGCTACGAAAACTAAGGTTTTGGAAGGATTTCATCTTGCGCGCGCGAGTGTGCACTTCGTGTCATTTTTTGCAAAGGATTCTTGAAGTTTGGTTATGTTAGAACAAGACATGTCATTTTATAGTGTTTTTTGCAAGGGAAAACGGATTACAACAAAACAACCGGATCTTGATGACATCGTATTACCTGAGGCTTCCTCACGAAAATGATGAAAATGTAGCTGCGGCCTAGGCGCGGGGGGGGGGGCGTGCACCAGGGGGCCCAACAATAATTATTCTTTAGAATTAATAATGTTCAACAATAACAACAACAACAACAACAACAGCAACAACAACAACCACAACAACAACAAACAACAACAACAAAAACAAAAACAAAAACTCGATGCCGGAGTACATTGCGAGGAATATCGAGCGAGAGCTCGACTGATGAGTAAAGTGTGCGGAAGGCTTCAGCGACAAGTCTAGGCGGCAGCGTGTAAATGGTAAAGAAGTTGAAAGCGAGAGCGCAAGTCCTGGGCAACTTTCGAGGACGTTTCGAACTAAAGCGCGATTGATTAGAGGATTGGGGGTCCTCAAGGATCCGTTGGAATCCCTCTGCATCCTGGAGAATCATTCGGGCTCCGTCGGGGTCCTCTGAAACCCAAAGGAATCCGAAAGACTCCTCTGGAATCCATATCCAAATTCGCTGGGAATTCATAGGAATCCGATGGCGCCAGCAGGAATCCACAGGTTCCCCGGGAACTCCTGCAGAAATTCTCTGGGCTCCTACTTGAATCCTGAGGGATCCTCAGATATGCCCAAACATGCAAATCACTCCGCACACATCCGTAGGAACCCCTTGGAATGCCAAAGGTTCCCCAGGAACCCAAACGGATCCCCAGGAATCCAGGAATGCCAAGGATCCCATAGGGCTCTCGTAGGTGCAGTGCCCCCCACCCCCCCGATGCGATGCGCTGCGCCCGCCACCCTCCCTCCTCCGGGGGGGCGTCTGAAGCCCGTCGCTCTCAACAAGTACAACAACAACAACAACCACAATAACCACAATAACCACAAAAACAAAAACAACAACAACAACAACAACAACAACAACAACAACAACAACAACAACAACAACACAACTACAACAATAACAACAACAACAACAACAACAACATCAACAACAACAACAACAACAAAAAACGACGACGAGGACGACGAAGACGACGACGACGACGACGACGGCAACCACAACCACAACAACAGTAACACATAAGTTTAAGACTCTTCGCTCTTATCTGCCCGCGTACAATTCAACACGTATATCCCATACCTTCGAGATCCGCCCTCTTCATCTTCGATAGTACCCCTTGGGTGTTTATATATATATAGATATATATATATATGTATATATATATATATATATATATATATCGATGTCCCTCTCTCTCTCTATCTTTCTTCCTGCAACGTGTATTTCGTGCAGCTCCTGAGGCAAGGGAAGAGAGGACGGCTGGAAGGAAGGGACAAGGGGGAGGGGGAAGGATGGAGCACGAGAGGAGGGAGTAGCAGGAGGGGGGCTGGGAGCAGAAAATACGTGGCAGAACCAGACGGGCAGATCGGGCGGGTAGACTCTGCGTAGACCCTAACATGAGGATCGAGAACGGGCCCAGGCGGCCATGTGGAGCAGACGAGTTGCTGAGGCGTGCGTCCCGCCTGAATCGCTAGGAAGTCTCGAGCGATAGCGCGACTCAAATAAATCGTGCTGACATCCACAGCGAGAGCGTGATTCGTGAGTGTCGAGGGCGCGGCGTCTGAATAAATTGCGAGGAAGTCCCACGCGAGAAGGCGATTCCTGCATAAAATGTGAGACCGTCCCGCGCGAGAGTGCGATTTGGGAACCAATTGTGAGGAGGTATCAGGCGGGAGCAGCTGTTGTTGCAAACCGGGGACCACGGGCGCAGTTTGGTGACACCCAGCTCTCTCTCTCTCTTGTAAAAAAGAAGGTGCGAGCCCCAGGAGAAGCACTTTATTTTTCTCTACGAAAAAAGGCACCAAGGAGGGAGGATCAACAGCCGTTGTCTTAGAAATG